TTTATAGGTTTTATGTCTGGACTTTAGCCGGGCTACTCAAGGACAGTTTGACAGACTTGTCCTGAAGCTGCTAAAGCGTTGCATAGAAAACTGCAACACGCTAAAGTGTTCCAAAAGTGAAGGGATCTGAATATTTTCTGAAGCCACTGTAGATGTAGAAATGCTGTGTGTGTGTGTATGTGTGTCTGTTTTTTTCTGTTTATTTTCTAGTTATGTGTGTTTTATTTTTTTTAATGAAGTTGCTTGTGCAGCACCAAAGACTAAGTCATTTCATGAGCAAGGTAGCAATTCTGTTGGCATAGTCCTCAGTTATACTGTAGATGTAGAATGGGGTTGCGTTAAAACACAGAAAAAGTATTTAAAAACAGCTGAGGTTTTGTCTAGCTTATTGGGCAATTAATATGTCGTATCATTTCTTTCTTGAATGTATCATAGATAAGCTGCTATATGATGATTGCCACTTCAGTAGCTGTGAAATTATGTGGTCTCTCTGAGTTTAACCCTAGCATTGCTCTTTTTGTATAGGTCCCTAATTATCTGAAATAGAAGTGGTTTTGATTTTTGTGTTTTGTGTTCATATTTGGAGTGTCATTGTAACTGCTGTATTGCTGATGATGAACATTAGTTGCATTTGTTGTTTCTCGGGGTGTGTTTTTGCATCAGTATTTTATCCTTATTAACCGTTTGGGCTCATCACTGCATATAAATGATGTATCAATGTAACTTAATTTTTTATGTTTCCATATTGATGTTTTGTACACATCTGAAGCTGTAGCTTGCAGGATTGATTTAACTTTTTCAATGTACGTATATATGTTATACCAGTACTCTTAGTGTGTTACAGGAGCACTGTGAGATCCCAGAAGAAAAAAAAAACCCATTGTGTTCATTGAAAAGCTTCTGTAAAGTTTCCACCCATCGCCCACAAACACACTCACCACTAAGCACTCCCACAGGTAATTAGGCTTGTAAGGGTTTGCGTGATTAGACTGTGTCCAACAATTTAGCCCAGTGTTTTTGTTCCAGAATGTTTTACCGTTAAATTGATTTGAACAACTATTTATTGCAACCTTTTTATCTGTTCAATGTTATATCTGGCTAGAATATGAGTTTAACAGTTTGTTATTCTAAACTGCCTTGTGTTCGGATCGCTCTCCCCTTTATGAGTGTCTCATATCAAAATGATGTTGTGTCAATGCAAGACTGTGGCCATTGTTGTGTGTTCCTTACTGAAATTGAGACAGTGTTAGCTGCACTGTGCATGTGCCTTGCGATTCAGAAAGTGAGAATTCAAGATGGTGATTCCTAGGAAGGCATAGAATCCAATAATACTCCATTACCACGTAGACAGTCTGTTAACAGCCACTCAACTAGGAGGGAAAAAAGAACACACAAAATAGGACGTCATCAGTGTCATTCCAAGGACTGGCACTCCTCTGATCAGCTTGTAGACACGACAGAGGACGTGTACACGGTGTTGGTTCTCTTGTTTCAGATAGCCACCACCAAAGCCTCTCTGTGATAACACGCCAATAAAATACACACCCACACGTGCACCTACTCTTTGAATGATATGACACTCGACGATCTTTGGATAGTCACTCTGGCTGAACAGCAGATGCAATACTTTACATTGTGCAGTCATTGCACCACCAAGTGTTCTTAGATAATCTCCATGCTTTACATGACCTTGCATGTACACCGAAGAGGCTTCACTTTGTCTGCCTATAAGTTGTCTGCCCAGAGCAGCTTTTCCATCACACAGGTTAAAACTGAGCGGGAGTAACCAGAGCACAGCTGACAACACTGGCCTTTTAAAATCAGAGGAGCCATGTTTTATATACGGGAATAGGCTATGTGGATGCTTATTCCACTTTCTGGCTGAAAACTGCTCTTTAAAGGAGATAATTGTGGTTTATTTGCACAGTCATTCATGAGTGCAATACTCCACATTTAAACACAGACACTGATATGCTTGTGTGTTTTTTGACAACTTTTTTTTATTGTGTGCTTTACTAGTCACACTTAAGTATCAATTTGAGGAAAATAAATCTTAAGACGCCTAGGCATGAACTTCGCAGATTAGTGCTTGAAATAGAGCCCCAGTAATAAGCATGTGAAATGTACTGTGTTTTGATTCCTCCAAAGGTATTCACCAGCAATGCGCCTGCATAAACTCTCCCATACTTGTTAAGGAAAGGAATGGATGCAAGAGGAGAGAAACCTTAAAACATTTTTAATTTTCCACATAATTGACACCTTGGTTTATAGAAAACCTTTTTGTTATGTAACATTTAACAGATAAAAGTAATTTGTAGATATACTACTATTCAACTTAAGACTGATATCAGACAAAAAAAAATCATCTGCTGCGGTATTATCCTTTCGAGATGCTAATTCAGGGTCTGTATTAATCTAAGTGTGCTACTGTTTGATTTGCTAAGGTTTGATTTACCCAAGCTCTTGTTTTCTGGTCATCTGTATCATGTTCAAAGTTAATTCACACTGCAAGTTATGGAATCATCTGTTTAGATTGCTCATCAAATAGACTTGATTATGAAATCTGAACTGTTACTGTTTTAATACCTGTAGATCTTTTTGTGGCTTTGATTCTTCAGTTTTGTTAATTTGCTTTTTTTTTTTCTATTTTGTGCTACACTAGTTTGCTATGTAGCAATTGCACTGTGCAATATTTACAGTATGAGGACTGGGAAAACTAACTCTATGGATGTGATGTCTTTAAAGTTTGTGATAGTGTTTCCTCTCTAGTTCTCAGTGATTTAGGTGTGACCAAGCCTTCTGTACTTTGTCACATTAAGCGGGTTTTCCAGGTGACTCTTTTGGTGAGTGTCAAATTAAGACTTTATTGTGTATTGTTGTTAAGATTCACTTTGAATTTAAAAAAATTATTGATTCAGCTCTTTCTGACTGAAACCCCTCAAAATAGACTGTCATAGTACACAACGTATACAAAACAGTGGAATCCTTGGCAGTTTTGCTTTAAAATATATAATGAAAATTGTCAGACTGTCAAATTACTAACTGAGGAGTCATTTCAGTGTTACACTATAGAGAGAATGGTGAACAGAAATCAGTTTATCACTAAAATGTTGCAAGTCAGAATATCACCACTAGGGAGCAGTATTGCTCATCATGTATTCCTTGTACTCACAGCATATGATCATGTGCAATTTTGTGATACTGATGACTTAGACAGATTAAAGGGAAATAAAGATTTAAATATTACTTTTTTCAGTCTGACAAAGAGAAGCGGTAGAAGAAATTATATAAAGGACTGTTACGTTCTTTATGATTACAACTGTGGACCTCAAAATCATCTATCTTTTTTAGCAGAGGGGTGTAGTTGAAGCATAGTAATTCATTTGTTTAATTTGGTGCTCATTAATGGAATTATTTTCTACATGTTATTAAGTAAAAGCTTGTTCTATTGCTCAGTGTTCCTATAATGATCCCCTTCAGATATTTTAAATGCATTTCAGAGCAGACGTGACCTGTAAAGCTTGAGGTCACTGCTGCTGTTTGATTTTGCTGATGGTGAAAATATTTTAAAAGTTTACTTATTGAAGAAACCAGCATGATTTTACACAGTTAAATTATGTACCAATTCGAGTTCCTTGATAGACTAGTAGTTATGGCGCAGTGCTCCGTGTTCGAGTCAGGGTTGCTTAGGGAAGGGCATCCAGCGTAAAACATGTGCAAAATGTCAACCGACCCCTAACGGGAAAAAGCCACAAGTGAAATATAAATTATTTACCACTTCACTGTAATTTGTTCTTGTTTGGGTTCAACATCACACTGCATCCTACGGCTCAGTTTGTAGATTAAAGATGAATTCTGTAAATATTATCCATGGATGTAATTTAAGTAATCATAAGGAAATAAGCCCTTAAAAATCACAAAATTGGTTCAAGCAAGTACTGACTGAGCTTGAAAATCTGTGACTTGTGCTTTTGCAGCAGGATCTTGAGCATTTCCTGCTAGGCGAGATAAAGGGATGAAAACCAGCTTCAGTGTAACAATCAATTTTATGTCTTTGTTGGGAGGATATTTTTGCCTTTCTTTGTTACAGCCAATAGAGAGATGTGATAGAAAATATGTTGAGAGATCACATGTACCAATGGTCCATTGACCAGCTCCACTGGCTTGAGGGATGTGACTCAGGCTTCTTCTCTTTCTCTCCTCTTTAAATGTATGACTGGGTAAATAATCCAGGCCTGAATTCAGCCAAATCCCTGATTACTGTAGCAAGAGCCAAACTAACTTTCTATTTTCTGCTATTCCTGTGGTTCCATGTGTCCTATTGGAATGAGTTCAGGAGACCAGACTACTGCATATCACTTTAAATGACCATCTCTCAAGTTCTCAGTGAACATGAGAGAGCCACAAGCATTAGCAGAAGTGTCTTATATTCCTCAGCATGTTTATGATTTAAAATGATTTTATCACACCTTGGTCTGCAGCAATAAGATGGATACGCAGAAGCTGCAGTGGTTCGGCACTAAACCTGGTGTAGGGAGCTCTCAAAATGTTATTTCTATATCATTGTGTTATTGTGGAAATTACATTTAACAATAAAGCCATAATATTGAAGGAATTCTAGAGAAGGTTAATTCGCTATGTGAAAATTAACTGGGTGAAGCAAATGCAAACATATCAGCGCTTAACAGAGCTAACATATCTGGTGACTATTTTGGGTCATGGCTAGAAACTTAACACTAGTGCAGCAGATGCTCAAATACATACATCTGTAGAACTTTAGTCTGAAACGAAGAATGAAAACAATATGAGATGAGCAGAAATTGAATTTGCATTTTATCTTTATTGTATAATTTGTTCTTAATCAGTAAATTTCAGTAAATTTAAAATATACAATTGATGCATGATTTAAAGTGGGAGGAAACCGGAGCGCCCGGAGAAAACCCACAACACCAGGAGAGGATGAGACCAGCCCTCCCCCAAGATGCTTTTTTCCTAATATGAACTACTGTCGGAAAGGCTTGCAAATAAACTTGCGCACACTGGAAAAGAACCTGCGAATGCTGCCACCTTTCTTTGGTGAGTTAGGGCTAATTAGATGATTTCTGAGAAGGGAGGCGATGAAATCTGAAACTTGTGTTTCATTGTAAAACAGCTCTCTTAGTACCACCTCTGCACTGCTGAAATTTTTGCACAGGTCCTTGTACACAGTTTTGTCAAGGTGTTTCAGTGTTTTTGCAGTATAGTCAAATTTCTCACACTCCACAAGAGCCAGTGTTTTATCAAACACTTGCTGGACGAGAATATTGTGATGAGGCATAGGGCTCTGGATTTTCGCTTTTCTAAAAATTCTTGAAAACAGCTTATCAACAGCTAGAGTCACAAATTCTCTTCTAAGCATCTTTTCCTCTTCAGATGTTAGGCTTACCCCCTCACTTACTGGGGAAGTGGTTTCTTGAGCTTCTGTAGCAGTTATCTGCACCACACTACTGCAAGTGCTCCTGTCTTTTGTAGCTGATGATGTAGAGATTGATGGAGACACAGAAGAGTATACCTTCTGTGAAATTGGTGGGATAGAAACAGTGTCGTCCTCTGGGGTTGCATAGTGATTAATTTCTGTGGGTCCAGACCGGCCTGTTTCTAAAGTCTCAGCGTTTTCCACTGGGGTGCCAGACCGGCCTGTTTCTAAAATCTCAATGCTTTCCACTGGTGTGCCAGACCGGTTCGTTTCTAATATCTCAATGCTTTCCACTGGGGTCCCAGACCGGCCCGTTTCTAAAGTCTCAATGCTTTCCACTGGGGTCCCAGACCGGCCCGTTTCTGAAGTCTCAGTGCTTTCCACTGGGGTCCCAGACCGGTTCGTTTCTAATATCTCAATGCTTTCCACTGGGGTCCCAGACCGGTTCGTTTCTAAAGTCTCAGTGCTTTCCACTGGGGTCCTAGACAGGTTCATTTCTGAAGTCTC